AAATTTTATGTACTTTTTATTTATAAATATGTTGAAAGTGGTATTAATGGATGTTATATAAATTATTTTAATATATTTACAATGGATAAAAGTTTGAATGAATAATTTGTAATGTTATTCATAATGTTTGTGGCTTATGAGACACGAACACATAACTCCATACATATTTGCCAGAGGGCGGCTTAATAATTTTTTAGACTTTAACGTTGATTAAAAGAGGTAGAAAATAGATAATAACATTATTACTTTTTAGACTTAACAGACAAGGATGTGAAAATAACTCATTTAACATATTTGTCTCGTGCATCGCACGGGGTACGTACTAGTAGTAAATTAAGGTTGATGTTGTGTGTAAGAATGATTGATTGATATTATTTAATTATATTGATAATATTGATGATAGTGAGTTGATTAATTGATATTATTTAATTATATTGATGATAGTGTGGTTGAGTTAAAGTTGAGTTAAAAAAGTGGTTGAGTTAAAAAGAGGCAAATTGCACTAAACCCCCTATATTATACTAAATATGCGCGTTATCCCCCTGTAATTTAAAAATTGCGTCAAAAGGCAATTACACCCATTTAGGCAAGGCTTCCAACCACTATGCCACCATCATTATATGACACATATCTAACACTCATTTATTTAAAACTGTAGAACACAAGAAAACTTAATCAAACAAAAAATAAAACAATCACAAAATAAAGTAATAATTTAAAATATAATTAAAATAAAATATTATGAAAATTAAAATAAATTTTAATATAAATTTTAAATATATGTTTTTATGAATTGAAGTAATATAATATATATAACTAATATTAAATTAAGTTAAATTAAATTTATTTATAATAAAATAAAATGATAATTTGATATATAATATATTATTAAAGTATTAACTTGTAAAAAAATATTTTGTATTTAATATCTATATATGATTTGTATATATTTATTTTATTTAGTTTTTATAATATTTATCTATTTTTAAATGTTCGATAAATATATAGATTTTATTTTGTATCAATAAAATTTTTACTTTTGAATATGTAATAATAATTTAAGTACTTATTATTTATGCACTTTACTTATTTTAAATTTTTTAAATGTATAATTTAATAAAAAATAAAATTTATAACTAAAAAAATTAATTAAAATATCAAGTATTCTTTGTTATGAGCTTTAAATAATATAAATAAGTTTTGATTATTTTTATTATTTTTAAATATGAATAATTCTTTATAAAATTTTTAACCTTATTTATAATTTCGAATCTCTTTATTTAATTATTGTATTATGTATAATTTTGAATATATTTACTTAATTATTATATCATTTATAATTAAGAATATAATTTATTCAATTATTATAAATATTTATAAGTAAGAATATAATTACTTAAATATACATAATTTAATAATAATTATAGATTATAAGTAATATGATAATTAGATATTTATATTTTATAATAATTGAGTAAGTAGACAGACAATTACATATATAAGCGCAATCTCGTTTTGAGATGACACATGCCCAAAGAGTCCCATGCCTTTCCCGGTAAGCAAATGAATGAAAGGCTTACATAAAAATTCTCGTAGAATCGAGAATGAAGTTTTCAT